TGATAGCGAGGGAAGCAGGCGCTTTCCCTTGAATGTCTTGACAGCCCATGTTCCCTGGAGGGCCAAATCTATTGCGTGTTTGTTTTCCTCTACACACATCCTACTAGAATCGCATTTTGTTTTGTCTATTGCTTAGTGCTCGCGCGTTACCCCAGGAATGGGTGGGTTTCGCCTTCTTGGTGCATGCCAGTCTTCCGCGTATAAAAGTCTAACCGATGTTTTTTATTCCCTACGAGTACCTCATTTAAAACGAAACTCAACTGCTGGGGTAGAATCGGTCCTGCCGAAGGTTTCACTTTGAATCATAGACCGGAAGAGCATCCACCTCAGTGGGATGGCTTGCTAATCTTCGTTTGTGAAGAAACCGTGATAAAGCATCTATTATTTGAGCGCTCCTGGAACGGTCGGCCCTACCACCAGCCTGGCTGCAAGGGTTATGTCCCTATGAATAACTTGTCTCTGGTATGTAAAAGGTTCTATTCGGTATCACTGTGAGGAACAGTGGACCGTCAAAGTTACAGTTTCAAAATTTCCACAGGAGCAACCACTGAACCGCAATGGCGAAAGCGCTAGAGAAGTTTGTTCGAATAATGTTGCTAAGACATGGTCGTCAGATGGTAGTCAGGAAGGAAAATCCAAGGGGTGGGGTCTTTAATAGGCTCTTCGTCCACGTTGGTATAGTAGTAGTTCATTTATAAGAATTTAGCTGGCTGTGAGAAGGATTTTTGTATAAGCGAATTTGAATTTTCAATTTTTTCCACATTGAACATTCTGTGCTTAGAGCAGCGTTTTCAGGAAATGCGTGACCCTTATTTTGGAAATTCATTCCTCATCCCGAATTCCATCTATGAAAACAACTAAAAGTGTATTTGTTTTAATGTTAATGCCAATCAATTGCAAAGAATCCTTGAACGGGAGGAACGAGCCAACGGTGAAAACTTGACCGTTCACCTTCCAAAAGTGATGAAGATAGACGAATGTACCATCAGAATAAGTACGATAGCACATCTAAATGTTATGTGATTGGTAGGGTTGTGGTGGTGTGCGGATAGAGCAAAGGTGTAGTGGCAAGTGGCGCACTATCGCACAGACGGTCCTGGGTTTGAATCCCAGACCAATGTCCGCCTGGATCAGGGTCGGGGTTAAACTAGTTGGTACCAGACTCATATGTAAGGATAAAACACTGACTTATACATCGGCTGGCCAGCTCGATTCATTGCTTAGGCCATATGCCACAGTGGTCCCGCATTAAATACGCCATTACGATTCTGAATAAAAGTCGAATGCGGGGCGCATCCTTGAAGCGGGATTGATCAAAGGCTTTATCCTTTCTCCTTTTTTTACTTTTATTGCGAGCGTCATTGACCATGTCTGAACAATCCCGAACTAGCTTTTATATGGCTGTGCTTTGCAGTAGCATGTAGCTCATATAGGCTTCAATGTACACTTTGGAGTGCAATATAAGTGTATCGTGGTCGTCTCCGTGTCCCAACTATGGAGACTTCTGCATCGCTCTCAGGAGTGCTTTTGAGCCAGCGTNCGAAACCTACAGATTCCTCCTAATGGAAAATTTCGAAAACTACTTTATGAGCTCTCCGCAGTAATCGGTTTTTACCGCTTCGAAACCATCACTTCAAGAAATTTTTCTTTCAATGGTGCTCTACAATATCACTTTGAAAATCGTATTCATTTTCTCGAATCCACAGTCTTTGACAAATGATGTATAAGCGTTAGACTCAGTGGGGAGAAATGTCTGGTGGTTGACTTTAAACTGACTACAAACGGTTAGTTGTGGGTTGATAGCCTATTACTGATACTTGCAAACCTGGTAGTATCACTGTGATTGAAGCAATGCCGTCAAGTCATAGCTCACCAAAGCCTCAGGTGCATACCCTATCCCCGATCTAAAAATCTACCTCAAAAGCGGAGCTTCCAAAGCCTTCTTAACCAAGCAACAATTGACCACTTCCACTTCTATGTTACACCTGAATCGAATTACCGCGTACTAATGGAAACCAGGCGAACATTGAGAAATAAAGGTGGATGTGAAAGGATTTGGCATTGAGTAACACTTTCCCACGAGCCAATCCTGTTTACGTCTTGAGCACTCGATTGGATAACTTCTTCACATAGTTTACCATTTGAATCGTTGTTATCTGGGGTCTAGGTGAGCTTTTGCCGGAGAGCGAATGTTCACAGTTACCAAAAAAGAGCAGGACTACTTTTACGTCGAGCTGTGACAAGCGACTGTGACAACTTTCTTCCGTACTACACACAAAGATAATTGAAAATGGAAGTTGATCTTGTGGCTTTCAGGTATTCTTTGGAATAAGGGATTTGAAATTTCTGAGCATCTTATCAGAAAAAAATTTGTCTAACAAGGGATTCAGGGTGCAACTCTTCCCCGGGCAAGATGGTCCCCTGCGTTTCGCTGAGAATTCTCATATGCTGCGGCGCATACGGGTGTTTTCGTGCTTTTGAAGATACGGGAGAGGAGGCTTGTGACATAAGTTGCACTAGCAGGGCTCGTTTTTCCCTTTCCCGTCAACAGCTCTTCGTTTCCCTTCTATTATGTCGTTTCCACTCGGTAATTTGAGCCTCATTTTCTGAAAGCAATCGATGGAACGAGGCTTCAGCATCAGTGTTTCTGACAGCTTTGTATTTCGATTCAAACTGGTTCCTTTTTAGTCGTATAGATTTCTATTTTAAATACCCTATAGCTCATAGTATTATACGGCTTAATCATCATTTTTTTTTCCGACAAAGCGTTGGGATCGAAATGGCGCAGCACTCAGGATTAATATGAACTTTTCTTGGAATGTGCAGACCTCGTTATGGATAGACCATTTTTTGAGAGTGCGGGGCCGTTGGAGGGTGTCCATTTGAAGAACGTGGCTTTTCTAGAGATTTTAGTTGATGATACCTATTCTTCAGTATCAGTTTTTTGCCATTTGCAGGCACTGACCACTCATTCTAACCAACGGTGCGATCTAGCTCATTTAAGAATTCGATACAACATTCGTTGGAAGTGAATAGACTGGAGGGGTCCGTGTTTTCTTCCGCACGATTACTAACAGGCGAAAGAAGGCCAAAAGTGAGAGGAAGAAGTCCATTCACGTGAAACTATGCCTCGATTGACCGCTTTGTCTCCAAATTTTTGCAACTAACTAACTCATTATCATTAACATTATGTGATTTATCAACCCAAGTTGACCTTACCCAGCTTGAGATATTAAGGCCACAGCATTGAGCGGTGCTCGTTACCCATTCCAGACACTGCAGTTAGAGTTATAGTTATTGTATGAGAAAAGAAAAGAGAATTCAAAAAGATGTGTGCGACAACCAAGTAATAACTCTTTGAGCATATGTATATAAGTATAACAAATATGTTTCACGAGCAGTTCAAGTTCTTTTTCAATACGTTTCTCTTATGATTGAAAGTCGAATTCCTAATATTCGTGAAGTGAGTTCATTCCATCTGGCCGAGCCTCGAGAAGGTTTGGAAGTCAGAAAAGTTGGACAGGCAGTTGTTGACAAGACCATATTTCTCATCTCACCATTGTCTTACCTAGCAATATTACCAAATATCATTGCCATTTGATAGCGCTCACTCAAAGTAGATCTCATGATAACTCACGCTGTTATATTGCATCAAAAAAAAAAGAAATCGACGGTGATGATCAACTCTCCAGCTCCAGAAGAAATTTGAAAACCGTTCACTATCTGGGTTGCCACTTGTTTACAACTCATTATGTTTGATGACCATCGGCTTCCCTCTGTTGACGCCATGCTCATTTTCTTCGGGGTTCTGGTTTATATCGCCATTATTCATCTCAAGCACTTTTTTAACATAGTAGCAGTCGAGTGAGAGATGGGACCCATAGTAGAGTGGGTGGAGCTCCTACGACAGAACAAAGCTGATATGCCCTTGTTTATAAAATTTTAGCTTTGAAATGATAATCAATCATGGAAAGTGAAAAGCTGCACTATCGTACACAATAACTTTATTGCTACGTCAATAGACTTCTAGTCGTGCTACCTGCTGATTTTATCTTCTCTCCTGACTGTGAGACTCCTGAGAAGAGACCTGGGACTAGGGATTTCGCTCGCTTTTTTCAGACACGTCCAAAGGTTCATGAAAGAAATTGGTTTACGAGCTCGTCAAATTTTTTTTTTGCCAAAATGCCCCATCCAAGATGTGCATGTGCTGTAACTCAGTTTTCTTACTGCGCTATAAGGTGCTGCACTTTGGAAACATGCGATGAAGCTTAAAGATACTTAGGCTATTAGGAAGATGAACGAACCGCGACGTTTTCCAATTGATATTAAACTGGTAGTAAGAAGAACCGTGGATAAAAGGAATTCTAAAAACCTTAATTATGCTACCCAAAACTTATACAGTGTTGGTGGCGGAAATTGCAAAATATTCGCAACACTCGACAATTTTCACTCTTGCTGTGATAATGATACATTGCCCGAATTAATTCGTCCCATTTACATTGTAATCAGCGAAGCGCATTCATTTTCCGCTATGGTAGTCAATATCTATCGTCGGGAAGTTGCATTGATTGTGTGTTTCAAAGTGGGAAGGCGATTCGCCAATTCGTCTAATGTAAAATACAGTCATTAGGAGAGAGAATTCGCTAATTCTGGGGAATTAGGGTCCGGCTGGAACCACCAGGAGTCCGACTAGAGCCTAGGTTAACATTTCGCTCTCGGAACCCAGTTATCAACGGTGGACACGTACATATGTATTAGGCGAATGGTGTTGAGACATCTAAACACGCAGTGTGCATGGTGCAAACGATCGTAGGACTGTATATACACAATTTCGCGATGCTCCAATAAACAATGCACCGCTAGAGTTTGTCACTTTTACTCGATCCTCAGTGACACTGTAGTAGAAGCGATAGTATGTTCATTGATATAAATATTTGAATCTTTTGCAGAAATGGTTCAGATTTGCTAGAAGGATGTTTGATACCATTTTGTTTCAGGTGATGTTTTCGGATACGAAGCGATATCGCACTCACTATAGGGCTCAGTTCAATCAGGTACGGTCTTAGTTCACTAACCAGGCGCTCCATGCGCGGTCGTACTTTGCAGAGCGACGTGGGTCACTCTTTTCATTCTTCACTTTCTTCATTAAACCTTGGCTTCTAGTTGAAATCCTCATCAGACGGAGAGTATGCCATTCCACTGGATGTGTTGCGAACACGACTACGGAAGCAGAGATCAACCATCAAACTACGAGATGACCAGATCGAGGCGCTGCTCAGGGAAGCCGACAAAAATGGTGATGAGCGTATTACGGTCGAGGAATTTGAGGAGCTGGTGGGTTATAAGAACGATTCCTTATGAGTTGGGAGTTCGTTAAGCAGTAACATATTGCAGGTGACTTCGAGAGAGGCTCAGTCGTCCCAAGTGAAGCGGGCTCTCTATGCGATTGCCGACCAGGTGATCACCCCTCAGCAACGGATAGAAGTGCACTCATATATAGACGAATACACCTGTTGCCCTCCTCCACTGTTTATACTCCTCATAACCATCATTGAGGTAAGTTTGTATTGATAGCAGGTCGTGAGTGGGGGACCACCTACATGAAGCACTATAGCTACCCGCCCGTGTTTCTTAATAGGCAAAGATCCCTTTTCTTAAATTCATAACACCTATAATGCCCTTTTAAGATTGCGGTCTTCTTCTACTACTACTGGACGGAACCACTAGCAGCCGGCGAAGATATCTTCACGTTTTGCGCTGGCTGCTATGTCGACAATCATGTGGGCCCTCTACTCTTCGCCCCCAAGCTGCGAGCACAAGTATGGCGTTTTCTCAGCTACGCACTTCTCCATGCTGGGTAAGTGAACAGGCTTCTCCGAGTGATCGGAAGAAGTTGAAGCGTCATGATTTAGGCTCATCCATCTAGTCGGTAACATGACGGTCCAGATCGTGATAGGTGTGCCTCTCGAAATAGTTCACAAACCTTGGCGAATAGGCCCACTTTATTTGATGGCAGTGCTGACAGGTAGGAATCGTAGATTAGAAACCTTAACATCTTCTCCTCACATCTTACATCTTTCTTAGGCGCTCTTCTCCAGTACACCCTCGACCCAAAAGTGTATGTGGTGGGTGCCTCAGCAGGAGTGTATGCACTGCTCACTGCTCATCTTGCGAATATCTTTCTCGTGAGTCTGGTCACACTGGGTCGCATTCCCTCTCGCCTAACGGCGCCGTTTTTTAGAATTGGGCCGAAATGCCCTACCGATGGGTACGGTTGGGACTGATCTCGATTTTTCTCGTGTTCGACATCGCAACTGCCATATTTCGTCGCATCTGTTCAGATGAATGTGACACGGTGTGGTTGGTCTGGCTTCAGATTGGTATTCCTTGAACGAAATACGATGGTTTAGGTGTCACATTCCGCCCATATCGCAGGCGGCATTACTGGATTCTGCTTTGGCGTGGTAATCCTCTACAATATCGTGGTTCGTTTTTTTCTGAGAATAAAAAATCTTTGTAATTCCTACCCCGGAAGTACCGGAAGTTCATACCATTCCAGTACATTCGATAGTTTATGCTCACTTAAATTCGTCATTTTCAGGAGCGTCCATGGGAGAGAATCATCAAGCACGTCTGCATTTCCCTCTACGTTGCATTTGTTGCTTTCACCATTGCTCTGACTATCTTCCAACAGCCTGAATCTTCTGCACTTTGGGAATCGAGCAAGTGTACACAACAAGCTTGGCTCCGTGCGGCACTACTCTGATTGTTTTGGAACCCAATTTGATTGAACTGTCTTTGACCACCTCAAAATGACCTCCTGTGATCCTGTACTCGAACTCAACACATTGATCTGCATTCTACTACTTCGAACGCCTACCAGTTGCTATGCCAGCTTTCTGTGATCTCTTAACGCCTTTTTTCTATTGCATATCGCTGATTAAAGTTAAATTATTACTATTTCTGATACAAATTAAGACAAATCGAAGCTTCTAACACAGAGATCTGATTGATGGCGACGATGGCCTATGAAACGTTGCCGTTGAAGTGGATGGGTCCTCGCGTATGAACGGGTCCGGGAACTTCTCCCCTAACACGGCGTCGCACACGCCGCACCCACCGCCTATCGCAGGATTGCGATGAAAGATTGGAGCGCGCAATTTGTGAGGTAGGGAGTCCTTTAATCATTTGAATTGGCTGGTCGCTCCCTTCAATTTCAATGCGGTATTGATCGTCGTTTATATAAGAGGAGTCATTTTAATTAATCAAGTCCAATAAACATGAAAACTAAAAAGAAACAGAGGAAAAAACGATAAAGTCCAATGAAAAAGCAAGCCAGTCAAGGAAAAATATCGCGTCCTATCGATTTTCGGGAGGCGGGGTGAGTACGGTAATTGCATTGACATTTGCCGCATGCCGCAAGGGAGAATGCCGCGATAGGGGAGAAGTTCCGTTACCCCGTATGAACAGCTGAGGTAGTGAAATATATGTTAACCATGGCCGGGCATTCCTTCAGTTGGTGTCTCGCTTAAGTTGGAATCCTACTAATCCTGTGTCTGCGATTTCGATACATAGTGAATGCTTTTTCATGCCTTGAGGGTGGGATCGTCATGTTTGTGGTCCATGAGCCACGGTCTATTTTGAATGACGGGTGTACACACTACAATGGAACTTTCTGTTTGCCCTGGACTTACAACAAGTCCTTTTCCTTCAGAGATTCAGAAGAGTTCTGGTACATGTTGTTGTGATTCAGAACGAATAACATCTTGGTTCAGAAGTTATATTCACTGCTGCTTTTTGGTGATACTAAACTGTTTAATCGATTTACTGAAGAATCCAGAAAAGCTTAGTTTGCTCAGTTTCTGTAGAGGCATAGGGCTACAACAGTGTTCTGCTTTCTCTCCTTGATGACGCCATTGCATCCAAACTGAGCACCTTTTCTCAATTCAGCTACCTAAAAGAATATGACTTGGATCACATTTGAGAAGCACAGTCATTTTGAGTGAATGGTAAAAGTTGCGCTGAAGAATTTACTACGAGGAGCCAGTATTTTTTCATCCAAGGAGCTAGGGTGATATTTGGGAGGGGCTAGAGGATTGGATAAATAAGGTTTTGTTATCAGTTCCCGTCCCGATCGACTCTTTGCTAAACTGGTTAGGTACGGGAATGTATGAGTAACCTCGAAGAGAGGGGCGTGCTAGAGGGAGTAACGCCGTGCTCAAAGAATGCTTTACATGGATTGAATGAGGAAACGGATTTTTCATAGACCTTAGCATGTAGATTAATGAAAAAATCCTAGTGAACTGAACCGGAGAAAGAAAGGCAACCACTCCATAGAGAACGTTTGAAATCGTAAATTGTGACTTACAACAATCCACAACTATTTCCTGCACGCCTTCAACCACGCCTACCTGTAACATATGGCACGAGGTGCAATCGAGAAAACTGTCTTCTGCGAGGTATAGAAAGAGGACGATGGGAACAGCCGACCATTGGCACCCCTTCCGAGTAGCTTTAACGCACCTCTTCTTTCTTTCCTTCGACGAGTTTTTTGAAAAGATCTATCATTCTGATTCCGATTGGGGTTGGATCGGTCTTTGAGAATGCCCTGAGTGATTAAACTACATCTGCAACAAGCAGAGGAATATGAACAAGAAGAAAAAGGAGATAAAAACTAAGGACCAACTCTTTGCCTTTGATCTTCAGAACAGCGTTGGCCTTTTCAGGTGACCGTAGAGCTTCCAATGCTTCTTTGACCATTGCTTCGCTCCATTCCTGTACATCAATTTCTAATAGATGACCTGTTTAGCTTAGCTTACTGAAAACTTCACCAAATTTTCGTTATAACCCAAGCTGACTTCCATGAGCGCTTCTAACGCCACCGGTGGCAAGGTCTTCTCTGTGCCTGAAAAGGTTCTCTCTTGAGATTAGAGAGGTTTCAAGTTTTCATGCTGACGAAAGGCCCACCATGTAGAAGATGAGGCACGTCCTTCAATGAAAGCACTCACTTCGAGCAGTGGCAAATGCTATGATGGAAATCAAAACTGCAAGCGAAAATGGCATACCGAAGTCAATGATTCTCCCAACCATCTCTTCTATTTATATGGGATGAGAATGACGTAGTTTGGCTGCACCTGCTCGTACAGAAAATGTAATGTCGTTTTCTTTTTTGGCGTTAGCGCAGCCTTTGTCCAAGCAAACACTTCGCAGTCGTGCTCGCCACGGCAGTGCTCCTGTCATTTCATCACTGCCATGATTAGATGGAACTTCGATTACGAGAGATATTCGTACAGAAAGCGAAGGCAGAAGAGATATCACTGTCGTAACCTGAATCCGATTTTTCCATTACTTCGAACATTTCCTTAACTTTTTTTACAGATAAATAAATAGTAAATAGAGCATCTCCAGGAAACTCCTCTACCAGCCCCAACAACTAGTGATAGATCGGACTTAGGCAAACGAAGACTTTCGAACTACTTCCAAAATCACTTACCTCATCGGCTGTGCTGGTGCCGCAAGCCAGTGCTGGAAGCAAATGCTCACTAGTGAGAGCATGGAGTAGAAAGAAGGGTCACATACTGCTGGCTACTACAAATACGAGGGCTGCCTTTTATATTTTGAGATTTGGCAACACTAGTGTAGCAATCTAGCAACTGACATCACTATCGTAAAGATTGACTATTTTGAGGATAAGTTGCGAAATTTGAGCGCGATTTGTGCTGTTTACACTAAGTTATAAGGTTTTGTTTGGGCCAAGTTATGGGGTTGAATCGTGAGCATTTTTGCGCGATGATTTTCTACAACTTTCGACGTGGACTAACTCAACAGCAATGCATGGATGAACTTACTTCAATTTTTGGAGATGAAGCTCCATCCAGGACCAGTGTTTATCGATGGTACACTAAGTTCACCCAAGGTCATAGTTCACTCGAAGAAAAATTTCGTGGTGGTTGTCCGAAATCAGTTGTTGTTCCGGAAACCGTTGACACTGTGCACAAACGAATATTGCAAGACCGTCATGTGGCCGGCCTATCGTGAGATTGGGACAACCTTAGGCATTGGTGGGACCAGCGTACATTCAATATTGCATGAACATTTGACTGTAAAAAATTGTTTTTGAAAAATTTGTCGATCCCCCAAAAAAGGGAATTGTGTCGATTGGTCGAAAGAAATGCTCAAAAAATACGAAAACTCGTCTATAGCCTCGAAACAGATGATGGATCATGGATTTATCCGTAGGAGCCCGAAAGGAAACAGCAGTCGACTGTATGGGTANAGGACCGGGAGGGGCTCTGCGGTGGGTGATCCAATTGGACGTTCGATTTTTATCAAAGCTTTTTGCACGAAGTAACCATCTCACCCACTCCGGAGCCCCTCCCCCTCTTAGGACTAGGTGAAAACAATATTCTTTTGGCTAAAAAGCATGTCCATGAACAGGTGAAGTCTGTTACCCCTCCTTCTCTGCGCTCTAGCCGTCAGTGATTCAAAAAGGCGCTGGCTCTCCCTCCCCCCAACTGCATTTTCACCCACATACATTACTAAGTTTTTAGGGTTACACCTTTTTTGATTTACGTACTACATATGTACACCTACACGAACACACTCTTACAGTAATCACGAATTCTCACTAATCTCAAGCATGTATTTAATTCGATCGAATAGCTCAAGTTCTTAAGCCATATTGAGTGCTCTTCAAGTAATCGGCAACTAACTTTAATTCGTTTTAATAATGCTTCTGTTATTGCTAATATTATTTTGTTACCGTTATGTTTATAATAGCTTAATGATGTGTAGGGGTTAGAGGTGTCCAAACCTAAAAATATCCTGCACCTGATATTTCTCATATCTAGCAGAGGCATCGTTGACTCTGTGTAACCGCGTCACATGTTTATATTTCAAACACTTCGTTTCCACACAGAGGAAAGACGATAGAATGGGCGGGGAGAGGACGAGCATGTCAACGAGGATTCGGACAAGAACCACACAGCGAACGGCCGGGGGACCATCGTTTACATCCTCCATCTTTTTCAATCGTTTTTAATCTTTCTACTTTCTCATGATTTCTTGTGCTCGTGTCATATATTCGTTTTATGAATGGTTACGCCAGTGCTCATAATTGGTGATTTGTTGAATCTATATGGAGCCATTGGGGCCAATGAGTGCTGAAAAGGAATTGATTCTGGGGATATCAGCATTCTTAAGCAAGAAGAAGCATGCTGACACGCATGCTGAGTGATGCTAAGAGGACATCGGAACCTTCACTGGTAGTGGCGAGTGAGGCGTACCGATCCTCGCGATCCACCGGACTCTGTTCCTCTCATTAGAAGGATGGCGACACGAGATCAGCCCGCGAGATGATCGGTATAGTCCCCCACCGAGGGGCAAGCGTGCCAGCGGCAAACGGCTGAAGTAAAGAGTCTCGGTCATCTGGCCAACTTTAGGCGTGTTTTTTATTGATTTTAGCCTGTCTGGTACGTTCACCTTGCATTTATGTACATTATGCCACTCGCTGACAACTCGTCATGAGGTAATTAGTGAAAACACTCAAGCAAAAGCCAACATAAGGAATGCCTGTCAGCTCTTGAATTATTACCTAGGAGATCAACGAGTTCGACGGGCGTATTATCCAGAGCAAAGCTTTGTTTTGAAACCACTACGTGCTTCATTTTCAAAACTTTTAAAGTAAGATCAATGCGATGGTTGCTAACTCCCAAGATAGCAGTTTCGCGTCGAATCTTTTGTTCCTCGATTCCTTTATTTGAGACTCCGATGCAACACTCACTATACTGCACCATGAGAGGCACGTTTAAATTGAGCTCTCTCTTCTGAGTTTTCATGTTTGAATTCCTTACAAATGCACAATATCGGATATCGCGTCCTCGAGCACAGAGGGGTGGTAGAGGCCTCCTAATTTTTCTGTACAGCTCAAGAACATGATACTTGAAGTAACGCTCTGAAGCGAAGATGCCGTGAATTTTTTCTCTTAATCTTTCAAGCTGTGAACATAATCATCGAGCTTCCAATGAAGTTTCACAGTGCTGCGTAATATTGCCATGAGATGGCGAACGCAGATAAAGAACGGAGATGTCAATGAGTATAGGATTCTAGGATTCATCCATAGTGTCATGTGGATTCTGTTCTATGGGCTCTCTTCATTATACGTACAGCACCTACTCTTTCTCAACGCCTTGCTCGAAGTTCAACTCTAGGAGAGTTCTCTCCCTGAATCCTTCGATCTGTCCGGATCAGTTAATCACGATTTCGAAGCTTGGCTGGCAAAGTATGTCACAGGAGCCCCTTTACAGAGGGTCACTCACGGTCACCAGCCGAGAATTAACATCTCAGTGGGATTCTTGGGAGAAGTAACCTGACCTCATTGACGACCTATCAGAGGACGATAGAAATTCGTATCTTCAGATAAGTGGTACACATATTCCCTTTCCACTTACATTTATTATGGAGCGAGCTCTCCAACCCTCTCCTGATTCTATTGGTGATCAGTGACCTGAACTTTGAATTAGTTGAGGAGCCTTCCACAATGTTCTTGAGAAAAGCACAGCCCCGAAGCGAATCTCCTACCAGATGATGCCACTGGCACAGTGGAAATGGATGTATCCGCCTAGATGGTGTCAGAAGATAATTTTATGGCACTTCTATCGCGCTTTCCAAATGCGCGCGTGACGTTGCGCTGCATGCAGTATCGTCGCCCATGCCTACCTCACGAATAGCAGGTCATGTGTCAAGAAACCAAAAGATTTTATCTTCTTCATCCATGAGAGTGATCTCGAGAAAGGGAATAGCTTTTCCGTGTTTTTTCACTCTCTCATAACATGTAGGGACTTTTCTCCAATTTCCTTTTGGGATAGCAAACAGCTTTCTCCCTAGGCGGACATCCAAAATGTTCCGTTGGCTGTAGCGGTAAAGACGATCTTTTTTGGGTCTGGTTACCAATCCGACTTGGACACCAATATCTCACTTCCGAACAGTAAACCGCCCTCACGTCGAGGTTATGCACGTCAACTCGGAGTTGTTCTACGACGTGTACTCATCTGCGGCATACTGGTGCTTCTTCGTTGGGATTGCTCTCGAGGATCTCGATACTTAATTCCAAAATACCAATGGCACTAATCAATATCTCTTCACATTCGCTTCAATCAATCTCGAGGTTATGCACGTCAACTCATCTGCACGGAGTTGTTCTACGACGTGTACTCATCTGCGGCATACTGGTGCTTCTTCGTTGGGATTGCTCTCGAGGATCTCGATACTTAATTCCAAAATACCAATGGCACTAATCAATATCTCTTCACATTCGCTTCAATCAATCAGTCAGTGGGTCGCAGGCAACATCGAAGCAACGGCGGCGCATGTGCTGGTACGCCTCCCTATAGTCAAAAATATTCCGCGTGCGCACATCATGGTCATTTGCCTATATCGCGATCAAAAACCACTGTGCGAGCACATATTGCGGCTAACGTGAGTCGCAGTGTCTACTGTGGAGGTAAGGAGCGGTCTATTATCATCCTCTGCATAACCTTACCTTGTAATAACCTTACTACTATTCCGTATTTACTGTGCTCCTGTCATTTGTGCTCCTTATGAATGGTCACGCCATGTTTACAAACATTCTGATTAGTGATGTGTTGAATAGCCATGGAGCGATTGAGTTGACTCGAGGCGAGTGAGTGATGAAAAGGGATTCCGATTAAGAGGTCATTGATTAGTTTACAGATGTCATGTTTTAGGAACTCGTTTCTTGGTTATAATACTTTTAGGGATTACGCAAATGATATTTACTAANTGTTTACACCTACATAATCATAGTTAAGGTACCACATGTAAATTGTTAGTATGTGCATGTCTCATAGGGAACATAAAATCTGGTTTCACAGAACGATCCAAGGAACTTGGAAATGAGGTCTTACATCCTTATATATACATGTGTTTTGTGTTTTTCGTGTTGTTGTTTGTCTTTGTGTATATGGATGACATATGAACAATACGTATGAAGAGTGAAAAGAAATTGATCCGTTGTTAAAAGAAGATACTGAAGATATGTTAAAACCCAAGAAAAGACATAATCTTGCGTG